AATTCCAGAAGAGTTGGCATTAAAAAGATGGAGCAAGAATCCTAAGACTATAGAAGTTACGCAACAACCACTGGATATCAATGACCCTTGGGCATTTAACGTTAGGTATGGGCTGCTGCAATTTTCAGCATTGCGGTTATGCTTCCTAGGGGAAAATACAGTGGATACTTTTCCGTTTGCAAACAAGTTAATGGCAACTGCGTGTGACCAGTTGAACAGCATGCAAACTGGTACTACTGAGAGGTCGACAATAGAGATACCAGAAGAATACAAAGCCGTAAAAAACCCAATGAAGGTAGCATATAAAGGTGGTAAAACTGGAAAACGGAAGAAGTCGGACAAGAAGCATCGGAAGTGTGGTCGATGTGGAGATGAAAGGCATTATAGAAGCACCTGTGATAAGCCTGTGGGATATGTACGTCCTAAATCACCGGGGTCAGATGAGGAAAATGATGATGGAAATGAGGAACCAGATTATTCAGATAAGAATGGTCCAAACAGCCCACCACGGCAGGTGAATTAAATAGGCTAATTCTGTGAATTTCCGAATCTTACAGTGTGTTTATTTCCATGGTTTATGTTATCTTTGTATAATGAATCTATAGTTTCGCGTTTTAACACTAGTTTCTTTCATTTTGCTGAAGCGGCGGAAGACTAGGAGTAGTACCAAGCAGACTGAAGGTGAGTCCAATAACACTAATGGTGAACAGAACGAAGGGGTTGTTGATGGTTCACGAGACGGACCTGGGAAGGTATTAGTTGTGAACAACACTACCTATGAAACAAATTAAATTCATCTTCTATTTTTATTCTAACAAACTAACATTTTATATGACAGCAGAGGAAAGTAGCTACAAATGAAGAAGAAAATGATGACAACAATGATGAAGAAGGTAGCTGGCCCCCAAAGGTCAGTGGAATGACAGTATCCAGTTTCTTAATGTCTCGACCTATTCATTCTGAATTCGTGTGGTGACAAGTATGGATCTCTTTTTGTACCAGACCATGCCACGTACTAGAAGTGCTACTAAAGGTAACAGAGAGCGCGGAGAACACAGTCAACGTGCACAAACTTGTGTGCAACCTCGAACTGATGAGCCTCCACAGGTACGTGACGCAACATCATGTGTTCAAGTATAAATAATATCTGGCTTAACTGTGTGATTATATATCTTGTGTTTGTTGTTACAAACGAGGAGACACACTAGAGATAATGGCAGGGGAAAGAACATCATCAACTAAGCATGAAGTTGTCCTCTATCTATGCTTGTTTAGCTTTCTGTTTTTTTTTAATGGATTTGGATTTGGAGAACAAAGATTACCACATTCATTGAAGAGCAAAGATTATAGTAGTTCTAGATAACAGTTTCAGAGCTCTTGCATTTATATATGTTGCTTATAATTATTAATGGAACATACCCGGATGGGTGGAACATGTCTGCCAAACAAAACTCCCTCTTGCATTAGTGGATTGACTGGACCTGTTTCATGTAGACAAAGGAAAACACCTCTCCATTCTCACAGCAATCAACCTCAACTAGTTCTTTGTGGTTCCTCAGTTCCTGGAGAGAAGGAAAAAAAAACCCAAGAAATCAAAATTCGAACCTTTTGCAGAAAATTTAACTGAAAGTACTTGCCAGCTAGGTGAAAAAAGGCTCGAAATGATTCTATAGTGTGATTAACATCCCTAACTCATCCAATGCTTCCCAGAAATGAATTATAACTGTAAGAAGATATAAAAAAAGTAGCTGAAGTGAATAGAAATTGAAAGCAACAAGAACTCACAATATTGATGAACCAAACAGTAAATACGTTTTAGGAGGGGATAAAGTCGAGGGAAACCAATGCAGACTCCTTCACAGAATTAGCTTCCTTACTACTATCGATTATTTTAACCATATTAGACAGCAAGATGACAGCACTAAAGCACTCCTATACCTACAAAAACGTTACTTACACAAAAGTGGAAATAGACAAATGGAAAGTCCACTCTGAATCTGTCATCTTGGTATTAAAAGAATGCTTAATCGCCAATAGAATTCAATGTTTAAAGAAGAGAGCTAAGGTCGATGTCATCTTTCCTTTCCAGAATCCACAAAACAGTACACAACTCTTTTAGCCGATGGGTCAAGGTAACTAAAAGACCATAGTAAGTACTTAAAATCTTAAGTTGCTTCGGTGAGGGTTAATGAACCTACATTATATCACAACTTCAACATTCACCAACAGGGTCAGCATTGGGTCATGCTTCATCGATATACGAAAAGGTATATATCAGGTACCAGGTAACTAACAACCAAACTGATATAACTAGTTCAGCAGTTAACTGAAAAACCACTCCCAAGTTCTGTGTTCACGAGATGTTCTTGATTACTAGTGTTTATTCAGATGGTTAACACTTACCTTCGTAGTTCCACATGAGTTTCCTGAAATTATCTTCTCCTTCAAGTAGGCAATGGAAAACACCTCTCCATTCTCCGAGCAATCAACCTCAACTAGTTCTTTGTTGTTCCTCAGTTCATCGAGAGAGAAAACAAACCCAAGAAATCAAAATTGGAACCTTTGCAGAAAAGTTAACTGAAACTGATTCCCAACTGTCTACAAGTATAAGAGACGTACATCACTGTTGTCTCTCCCCTCTGCGAGAACCTTGACAACTTCAAATCCCAGTGGACACGAAAGCAATGTAATTATTCAAATCTTGTAGCCCTGTGAAGCTATAATGGCGGCACCAGAAGGACTACGTAGTTGCAATTTAACCCTGTGAAATACCAATCGAAAGACACCTCCTTAAAACCCCGAAATTCACATGAACTACGCTAAAATCATAAACTTAGCCCCGTCAAAGGAAAGAGAATTTACCATTTCTTGAGAGCGAGAAAAAAGCAGCGGCCGCAGCTAGTTCGATGTTGCGCAGGAGACACCTGCAGCCGCAGCTAGTTCCCGTGATCGGAACCAACTGTAGTCCCACCGCCCGCAATGGCGGAGTTGAACAAAGGCGATAAAAAATAAATTAGCATAATTCACACAACGCCAATCACGAACAGAGACGCACAAAGAGGTACCTGATGTCCACTAGCCCCAAATCTCGTTGGAGGGTGATAATCGTACTTGGCATAGGAACCAGGACCTTGATTAATTGTCGAACTGCATCAATATGACGGAGTAGGGGCAGCCTTACCGTCAACGTCACCGGCACATCCTCTCCGATAGCTCCGGAAGCGGTTCGCCCATCTAGGTCATGAAGGCAGCAGGCTAGGCGGTGGTGATGTAGCCGAGTATGAATTTCCTTCGAGAATCATGCAACCCGAGGAAGTGAACCTCCAACTACGACTGTAATCTGCTTCTTAGCCGCTGGAGAAGGCTCGCTGAAAACCAGGGGAAAGCAGACGGTGGATATTCAAATCATGAATCAGCCGGCCCAAAACAAATCTGCAAATGGAGAGTCGCCGGAGACAGAGCGGCAAGGGGATAAGAATGAGTTCGACTTCGTTCTTGGGAGAGAGAGAAATGGAGGATCGTGGAAGAATGGAGGGAAGGGGTTGTGATTTTGGTAAAAATCAAATTTTCGTGAAATATTATGGAGGGAAGGGATTGTAAAAGTTTTTTCCATTGGCGGGTAGAGACTTTCTCCTTGGATAAACCAATACAAATTCATTAGTATAAATTGGGGCTAATTTTACCCTTTTTTAATTATTTGATGTCTTTATCATTACTATTTGCTCAAACTTGCAACAAAGGAAGCAAATATAATTAATCTCTATTAAAAAATAAATGTCCTACTAAAAAGTAGATAGTATCATATGAATGTTATATGTAATGAGATTTGATGCAATAAACTCGTAATTCGATTGATTGGTGATTACTGAAAATTTATTGAAGTAGAATCTGTGAACCCCTATCTCCATTCTCAACTGATCATGCGATATATGTTGCTTAGTATGCAAGATCTGAATGTCATTGTTATCACTAGGTTGTCCTATTCTTCCCTATGGTTTAAAGAATCGTTATAGTTTTCTTTAGTTCGTAGAGATGTATGTGGTGTAGATGGAGTTGTTGTCTTTAGAATGTAAAGTATCTATATTGTACAATGTGTGATTGTTTACCATCCACTTGAATGTTTAGTGAAATGAAACCGATTACTCATAAAAAAAATCAAAACAAATGCCTTTGGAAGAGCCCTTTATAAAATTAACTTATTCTATGAGCACAACAGTACTTATGAGCTATAATGCTACGCTACTCTACATATAACTACATGTAGTTAAATTCACCTAGATCTATACTTAATATTGCTATTTCAGTGGGTCAAACTACTGATCTGGCTTCAGATTCAGAAAAAACGTACTATCGACAAAATAACAAACAACTACTAAGATGATACACTTATCGAGAAGTATTGACATCAACGTTAAGAAAGTGAATGGATCATTATCGAATTCGTTCAAATTACGAGAGGTTTGTACTGATAAAGCATCCTAGCAAGGGCTGCAAATGAGCCCAGTACAGTCGAGTTTTACCCTAGGTTGAGCTCGACTCTTTAATAAACGAGTCGATCTCGAGCCCAACTCGTTTATTGACGAGCCGAGTCGAGCCCATCTATGATTCTTACGAATGGCCACAACCAACATGTCATCACCTATTCAAAACTCACGGTTCTAATGACATTTAATCTTCCACTAAACAAAAATTGTGACGTCATTCAACCCGCTTCACCCACCCCACCCCAAACCCTCGCCATCTTCTTCCTTTGGTCGACTGAATGAAGACAAATAAGAAAATCAAGATTTCATTGAAACCAAAATTAACAAATTCTCGGCATAACATAAAACCTAAATTCCCACCGGCGCAGAACCTCTTCCTCATTTGTTTTGTCAACTGAGACGGATTGATGATAATTTAATTTACATCATTTAATCTAACATTTAACATTGATGATAAAGTAATCTTCGAACACTACACTGGTAGCTAACATACTAGATCACTTCACAATGCAATAATTGGGCACACAGGAAAATAAAACTTTTATTAAGCTTTAGCCTAAAGTGGAAAACATTATAAAATAAAACTTTTATTAAGCTTTAGCCTAAAGTGCTTTAGCCTAAAGTGAAAAACATTATAAAATCAATTAAATAAAAAAATCAAAGCAAAAACAAAAGGTGGAGGGAACTTAATAATTATGATGAAAGTAATCTTCGAACACTTGATCTATTCTCAAAAGCTTGAGCTCCCACCACTGCGTTGTAATGTCTTCAACCATTTCCTGATGGCAATGCCTACTATTATTAGTTATTATTGTCTTCATAAATTTTCATGGTATCAATGCCGCTGCACTTGCTGCCCTTTTGTTCCCGCAAACTCCAGAAATCTGGTTTTCTTCCCCGAAGGCCAAAACCCACAAATCGCACATACATCGCCATAAATGCTCCTTTCCTACAATTGCATCGACGAAGTCTTTCTTTGGCGGGAGAGTAGGAGAGGCCAACGGCGATTATAAGACTTCTATCGAGTCGGAGATCTGCCGGGAAGAATCGCGCCGGGAAAAGTAACCAGTGGAGAGGGAAGACCGGATCTCAATGGCATCGTCGTCGGGGTCCCCGGTACCGCTGGATTCTTCGTTCCGGTCGACGATAGAAGGAACCCTGAAAGTAAATTTACCTTCATCAATAATATCGGAAATCATAGGTAGAAGCCGGACAGAAATCAAGCTAAAAATCCCTAGAGTGTAGAGGGATACATCGACTTGATTTAGGTTAGGTAGATACCAAAACTTTGATCTACAGATGATAGGAGAATAGGGAAATCGTAGTATGTCCAAGGAGGTGATAGGGGATGGATTTTAATTTTTTTGAAGTCCCTCGCCTCTGATAAGGATGACGAAGTACATGCTGGAAATGGAGAAAACATGAACAGAAAAGGAAAAGAGGAAGGAAGTGAAATGGTTTGTGGGACCTTCTGAGGAAAGGAAATGAATAAAAGTTTGGTGACATTCAATATTTTACTTCTGCATTTTGAAAGAAAACCGAAAACAATTGCACTATTTATTGTTGATAAGAAATTTTGGGTGTTATAATTTATGAATAGCAATAGGTGGATAAGCTCTCTTCCAAAATTGTCAATGTCCAAACCATGTTAGCATTAACAAAAAGAAACCATGAATCCAAAATAAATTATACAAATATCATTTTTCTAATCTAAGTCCCAATTTGAATCTCGCGCTACATTGCTCGAGACCATAGATAAAACATACTTTATTTAGCTTTATCACAATGTTGAAAACCTGATAAAACCAATTAAGTACAAAAAGAAGTACAAAAAATTGAATCTCAAGAACATACTTTATTTAGCTTTAACATGAGGTGGAAAACCTAATAAAACTAATTAAATAAAAGAAGTAGCTTTAGAAAAAAGGTAGCAGATGCAGAATTTGATAAACATCGAACCCCTTACCTTTGCTTCACATCTTGCTCTTCCACCGGTACACTACAATCTGTTTTCATGTATAATGTTTGAAACACACATATTATTATCCATACTACCACATATTTCCGGAGGATTTCGTGCGGCACTGTCTTCGCCCCTTTTCCCAGAAACCTAATTATACTTCCCGAACAACCAGAAATTGAACACATCGCCATAATTCTTCCCTACAATTGCATCGATAAATTCCATCTTCGCTGGGTACGCTGGAGAGTCCGGCGGCAATTAGGAGAGGATTTCCACTCGGAAGTCTGCAGGTGAATAATTGCGCCGGGAACGAGAACCAGAGGGAAAACCGGAGCTCGATTACATCATCGTCTAGTCCCCGACACCGCTGGATTCTTGTTACCAGTAGACGCTCTTGGATTGAATCCGAAGCGGAGTGTCCACTTCCCTTGCAGCAACCCGAATCCGAAGCTCTCTACTGCTCGTTGGCCGGAGCTGGGGTTGTCGCCGGAATCTCCTGCTAGCGCTCCCCTAAAATCAACTATCTCCTTTCTCATCTTGTTGGCTGGGAGGAAGAAGCAGGAACATGTGTTCATGATCGATCATTGTGGCCAGTCCACATGGGAAGACAACTCACAAGCTGGGATTCGCCGACATTGATTCTTCATCGTCTCACCACCGGCGTTGACAGAAGACGGAATACATGTTTGTCATATACGCCTCGCCGCTTGGGGAAGAAGAACAGAAATTCTTGTCGAATTTTTGTAATAAAAAAAAGACAAGATAGAGAATAGATTTCTAATTCTAAACACACAATTTTGGTTGATTTAGAAAAATAAGGTATTCAAATTTATATAAATAAAAAGTTATATGATTGATTCAGCAAGATGAATGATAAAAATTTATGGGGTACTAAATCTTACACAACAATTATTTAATGGATGTGATTGTAATTTTAATTATCATTAATAATTAATGTACTCTTAATTAAATTAAATATATTTAATAATTAATTTACAAGTGTGAACACAGGCGTACAACGTACGACCGTCGTACGCTAGCCTTTGCCATATATATATATATATATATATATATATATGGTGGCTACTTCGGCGCACTCACTTTTTTGGGTGCACTCAGTGCACCCACTCTAAAAGTGTCCATATTACATCAAATTTTGAACTTTAATTAGTACTCTCAATCTAATATGATGATATGACATAGAATCATAACAAATCAATTTATTACCCTAACCCCTTAACTTTCAATATTGAATCCCAATCCAAAATCCCAAATTTTAAACCTAATCCCTAACCCTAAATCCATAAATCCTAAATCCTTCAAATTGAAGTAAAATTTGAATGATTTTTTTCCCCAAATTCATGTGCTTCTTGTTCATAATATCATAAGCAACAATTGATACCGTTTTGACATGGATCACATGCTCAGAATGACAATTATGAGGCGGGTGCACTGAGTGCACCCAAAAAAGTGGGTGCACTGAATACGCCACCATATATATATATATATATATATATATATGGTCACACTGGTGTACGTCAGGTACTACTAGTGAGATATCTCTATCTAGACCATGAATTAAATCGAGTTTGGGGTATGATACTATACCCTAACCTCTAATGGATAAACCCTAGGCACCGATTTTCTAAACCCCAACCCGAAGTATAATTTAATGAAAAACAAAAATTGACCGTTGAGATCGGTCGGAGCTCATCTAACTACATCTAACGGCTAGATCACCTGACGTATACTATACGTCTGGCATACACCAGTCATCACCATATATATATATATATATATATATATATATATATATATATATATATATATATATATATATATATATATAACTAGGACTATGCAAGACTTTAATGTTACCCAGAAAATCAATGATAACAATACTATTTAAAATGAAAAGGAAGACCATGAAATTAGTCAATTACTACAGACTCGAATTCATCGAGAAAACGAGGCTAATACTTGGATCTTGAAACCATTTTCGAGGTGGCTCTTGCCATGCCATGAGCATTTTCAGATAGGACAGTGTTGGAGTAGCAAGTGTAGCATGCATGAAAGTTCAATGGAGACTGAAGTGTGTGCCCACATCGGGGTTGAGATTTGGATATGGCGCCTTCTTTTTCTACAACAATGGTTTGTTTATAACTTGTTTTAGGGGTCGTTTGGAAGTTGTGAATGTTAAATCGTTGCATTGTAATGAATCACCATAATATAAATGCATGTATTGATACAATGTATGCATTTTAACAATACATTGTTTGGTTGTTGAGATTCTACTTTATGCATTGATTTACATAAAGTTATTTTATGGGGAAATGTCACATTTACCCTCAACTTTTAGAATAAGACAAAAACTATTAGGGATATAAATGGAAAGAAAAAGTTGACACAAAACTAAAACCAACAATCACAACAATCTCAACTTTTAGTTGAGATTGTATAATGCATCATTTTTTGTGATTGTTGGTGGGACCTACCTAAAACAATGCATGCATTGTTTTACATTTTTAAACTTCCAAACATTGTATTATGCACAATACATGTATTCAACAAACACAACTCTAACAATCGCAACTTCCAAACGACCCCTTAGTTTATTTTCCTTGTGCCCATGTAATTGACGATTGGGAAGTTCTCGACTCCGTATCTCTGTCCAAGTTTGCATGCCTAGTATTTTACAAACAATTTAGAAAGTAGAATGTTTATCTCCCGTACAACAAACCCTAAAATAGCCAAAGTAGTTCTATAGCCAGATCAATTACATTACTTGTATAAAAAGGCCAAATACATCTAGAGGATAGCCATGATTGTCCTTTTTTACAATAATAGCCACCCAATTAAAAAATACACAGATGTAGCCACACTTTTTAAACTAATTTGACTAATTTAGCCATTTCCATCAAATACTTTAACAACATCAGAGACCTTGTTACTTGTCAATAACGTCAACCTGGCGCAGATTTGGATGCCACCTCAGCTCATACATCATCTCCAACTAGATACACCGTGCCACGTCATATTTTAATTGAAAAAACTCATAAAAATATTTTCTTAGAGAGGGGCGGAATGATTTTTTAGCATGATTTTGCTTCATCCTCCATCCTCCCAGTCCCACCCAAGCCATTCTTGTCCTCTTGTGGATCCTCCACTCTCATCTAGCACATGATTTATGATTCATGAATGACGATGGTGTTTCACATGGAACAACCACCATATGCTCCAACTCAAAGCCTCCCTCCAGCCCATCAGAATAACCACCATATGGCAGTGTATCACTGTCGGATGAATCAAACCCTTCTCATTTGGTAGTAGAAGACCCATCATAAACATCACCACCTCCAGAAACATCACCACCGAAGGAACCATCACCACCATCATAGAAACAATCGGCGGGTAGTAACCACCATAAGCACCACCATAAGCGAAACAATCAGCACCAGAACCATAGTGAAATCCATCAAGCCAACAACCACCGCAACCACCATAACATACGGGTAGTAACCCACCTCAATCGCCCAATCGACGCCTACTGGTCATTTGATATTCGAGATCCTTTAGATCCGAAGTCATAATTTTTTCTTTGGCAGTCCAACTTCTAGATTGGTCACCCTATCTGCAGATCAACACTGCACCTCGGGGGTGGGATAGCGTCACTTCCCCTAAGGGGGATGTGAGTTTCACATCCAATGGCAATTTGGGTATGACAAAAATAACAGAATTTATTAATTTTTTTGTATTAATTACACAATGGGAATTAAAAACCCATTAAATACATGTTTTTTTAATTTAAATACTACAATTTTCTAGCAGCCTCTTCGCTCCAATCGCCAAACTTTCTCTGACCGGCAGACTTTTTCCGGATGAAATCCTCTAATCAGACTCGCTCCGGCGATCTGCAAAGGGTGCGTGCCACTAGAGAAAAATTAGTACCACTAGAGATTAACATAAAAAAAAATCAGATCTGGAATCTGAAAAATCCCAGATCTGGAAAAAAAATTAAGGGATGAGGAAAGGAGAAGGCAGGGGAGAGCTCGTTACTTCTGTGGAGGCGGCAGCAGTGGATGAGCGCAGCGACAGAGGAGGACGACGGGAGAGAGATGGCAGCGAAATGGGGTGGAGGGAGGCGACAGGGATGCGACAGGGGGAGCGTGATGGCGCGGCAGTGGTGGGAGGCGAAGGGCGCGACGACTTCAGCGGGAGCGCTGCGACGGTGGTGGGAGGCGGAGGGCGCGATGGCTGCGGCAGGAGGGAGAGATGGAGGCGGCGACGACATGGAAAGACGGAGGGGGAGGAGGCTGCTAGGGTTCTGGGGGAGGGAAGAGAGAGGACGTGTGTGAGGGGTGAGTTTTTTTTAATGAAAATAGATTATATAGAAAATGAGAAAAGATTCTGTGTGATAATATTTTTTCATTCCAAAAATACCCTTCTTTTAATCCTAACCATCAATTTGGGAAAGAAAAAAAAAAGAGACAGGAATGAGAGTGTATCCAATGACTAGGAAGTGGGTGGTCAATCTCACAACCCTCAAAGGGAGTTGTGACTGTATCCCATCCCTGAACGTCGTCTTCATCTTCCCTTTAGAGGGATTCTTCTTTGTCTTTCTCACCCTCCCTTCATCCGTCGACTGCTTATGTACATCGATGTTAATAAGGGGGTATTGGGTGGGTATCTTGTCGAGAAAATGGAAGATGAATTGATTGGGGTTTGGTAGTGTCGACGGGGAAGCTCAAGAGGTGGTGGGATGGAATGGAGATGCATTACATATATGGGTAAGATTTGGTCGGCAGGTGCACAATGGATCTTGAAAGATTGGTGGAACAGAGCCAGGAGGTGGAGAGCTTCGAGAGCAAAAACATGCATAGAGTCTGAGATGGAGAAGTGCAACATGGATATCATTGTCACGAAGAAATCTTGTTCGGAGATCGAGTCATCAAAGAGAGGAAATCTCTGGTTGTTGATAAAGCTACTGGAGAAGTTCAACCAGCGACGTTGAAGTCGACAGCCACTGCTGGAACGGGAAAAAGAAGAGGAAGGGGAAGAAGTCTAAGCGGCGGAAGGGAAAGTTTTTAATGGTTTTTAGTTAATGAAAAGAAATAAATAAAAAAAGATAATTTCCACCTAGCTTGGTTTTGGATGAAAAGTTGCCACATCACCCCAAAATGCTAGTCTAATCAGCATTTATTATGGCGTCGTTAATGTTATGTACGAAATGACTATTTATTGTATTTTTTAGAGGTGAGATATTTTAGTCACAAAATAAAACTTATACCTATTCAGGTGTATTTTGCCTATAAAAAAATTAATTACAATGCTTATATTTGTCACGCACCAAAGTCAAAAAGTGTCCTTAAATTAGTTGGGGACACGGTCTGCTCCTCGATTTATTAACAACCCTGTTTATAATTAGATCAACTACATTGTTTATTGAGAAAGTTTCAACGTGGTAATATTGTTACTCACATCAATTTGGAGGCAATAGGATGTTTGAGCTTATTTTAGTTATGATCCTTGACACAGTCCCTTGATCTAAATGATTTGTTTCAATATACTTTGATTGTACCAAATTTCAAGATATAACAATTAAACTATGCAGCAATAGATCAATTGTGCTAGTTATCTGGACACATTTATAAATTGTGTCATTATCCACGTGAGAATTTATACTATGCATCATAGATAAATTATTTTGTCGTAGTGATGGTAGTTTCTGACCTAATCGGCAAGACCTCACTGCCCGACCTGTTTGTTCGAGTACTACCCGACCTGTAGTAGCGTGAGGCGAGCATGGATATTGATTCCGACCAGCCACGCCTCGTCCCGCCCCATTCTCGACTTGTACTATCATGATTTTCATCAAAGTCCACCTCTTATCTCATATTTTTTATGTTTATAAAATCATACCTCCACCACAAAGAAATTTTAAGACTCCATCTTTCAACTATTAAGACTCCATTATTTCCTATATTATATTTCTCATTCAATTATTTAGTTACTCTACATTTTCTTGTAAAAGAATTAAATATCAACGTTTTTTCCTCTCAATAACACATAAGGATGGATCTAACCGTCCCACCATGTATCCGAGTGTGTATTTCCGACCTAACTCGTGCTTAGTACGGGGCGGGAATGGGCATTGAGGTACTTGGCCCCTCCCATTGCCATCAAGTTGTACAAAATTTTATGAGTCCTACTAAGGTTTCTTACAACAAAAGTGGGCGATGAACAATTATTCTCATTTAAGCAAATCTAAAAAAAAACTAATGGACAAGCTCAGTTTTTCTATTACTAATTTTAACGTTCGGGTGATGTTATTGAGATGAGATGACTCATAATAGTTTCTCAAATATCGACCGACTCCAAATTTAAATCTAAGCATCATATATCATTATTGGTGAATTAGTTCATATAACAAACTAATTCATATAGTAGTTCATTACATGTATTGAGTTCTAGAAAAGTTAATGGATAAGCTCGAATTTTCTATTACTATAATTTTAATGTTCGGGTGACGTTATTAAGATGAGATGACTCATAATAGTTTCTCAAATATCAACCGACTCCAAATTTAAATGTAAGCATCATATATCATTGTTGGTAAATTAGCATATAACAAACTAATTCATTTAGGAATCAGTTCATTACATGTATCGAGTTCTAAGTAGACAAATTACTATTACCATGGGGAATTTGAGATAATCAAATTAGCAAGTAATTAAGTATATGAACTATGATGCAAAATATATTTCGTTTAAGACAATCAAATTGGCAAGTAAATTATTTTAGTCTATATTATGTTTCATTAATAATTTTGTAGAATATTTAAATTAATGAGAATTTTAATATGTATATACTATATTAGTTATATATTGAGATAGTTATTCATTATCAATATGTACATTCTGATAATTTTATATTTTGTAAATGTTTTTTCATATTTTTGTTAAACAACTTAATGTTCAAGTGGATTTTATGTTTTAATATTTATAAATAATTTGAAATCATTTCAAGTGAATTTTGGATTTTGAACTTAACTTTATGAAATAATAGAAAGACTTCACTTGGATTTCAAACAAAAAAACCTTCATTTTGCATGACTATATATTATATACTATGGCAATAGATGCAAACAAATTCGGTCACTTGCCTAACGAATTAGTCGAGTAGTGAATCAATCGAGTTCGAGTTGCAGACCAATCAAGTTGCACTTCAATCAGGTTGCGGACAACCAAGTTGCGGATTGGACGGATTGCTTATATGCTAACAGACACACACCTATACCTTCAGAGCCTCAATTTGCGGTCACAAGGCTGAATGCACAGCAAGAAGCTACAAATCACATGATTTGCTTCGTATATTATGTGTTTGCATATAAAAATTTGCAAAAACACATAACCTACTACTAGCAGAAAGACTAAAGCGTAGCAAACAATTTGACTATCTTTATTTTCCATAAACTCTTGTATACAGCTACAAAAAATGTGAAGTATACTGTCATTCATCACATTGCCTATCTGAACTTAACCAGCCAAACTATCTGACAAGTCATCCGTCGTAGAGATTATACTCTGTGAAATCAGCAAAAGCGAGATGCAACCTTCAGAATTTGAGGGTCACACACAATTTTGATGCCAGGGCAAATGTTGAAGCTTCTACCTTCCAGCAATGGGCGATGATGGCACTTCTTCTTCTTGACCAGCTAATTGTTCTGATACAGTGAACGTCTGCAGATTGTTCTGTTGCTCTATCCAACTAATGCCCTGTTCTTTCTTCACATGTCGTTTCTCCATGAGTTCTCTGAATTGCTCCGCTGATTCCCATTTCCCAAGTGTAGCATGTATACTTGACAATAATACATAGGAGGCAGGGGATTGAGGCTCCAACTTCATAAGCCGTTCAGCTGCTGTGCTCCCCAGCTCCATATTCCCATGAATTGCGCAAACACCAAGTAAAGCACTCAAAATCTGCTGGTTGGGGTCACATGGCAATTTCTGAAGCTGGTTTATCAAATTGTCGAAATCTCCAGCTCGTCCAAGGAGATCGATTAAGCAAGCATAATGTTCCTGATCTGGCACGACACCATGACTAAAGGTCATAGACTCAAAGACCCTAAGCCCTTCCTGCACAAGACCTGAATGACTGCAAGCATGTAGGAGGACAATCAACGTTATCCTATTTGGCTTTACCCCTGAACAAATCATCTCGTCAACCATGTGAATGGCTTCCTCACCACGTCCATGCTGTGCTAGGGCAGAAAGCATAGTATTCCACAAAACAACATCTTTCTTAACACCCATGACATCAAAGACCAGCCTAGCAGCATCCAAACACCCACATTTTGCATACATGTCGACAAGAGAGCTCAGAACAATTGCATTAGGCCTGAAATTCATACGTGTCAAATAAGCATGTACCTGTTTCCCATGTTTTAGAGAAGCTACACTAGCACAAGCACAAAGACAACTGCTAAATGTAAATTGATCTGGTCTAATGCGGAAAGCCATCATTCTAGCAAACAACTCAAGAGCCCTGTGCCCTTGACCATATCTGGCATACCCAGCGATCAAAGACGTCCATGAAACAGAATTCTTAGCAGGCATCAAATGAAAGAACTCAGTAGCCGATTTCATGTTCCCACACTGGGCAAAACCTGAAACCATTGTTGTCCATGCCAGAACATCCTTTACTTTCATCTCTTCAAATAAACTACAAGCGGAAGCCATCTCCCCACATTTTGCAAAGGAATCAAGAACCGAGCACGACACAACCACATTTGATAAAAGACCCATAACCAGAACCTGCCCGTGAGCCTGCCTAGTTAACTGAATTTCCTTAAACTTAACACAAATTGTAAGCAGACCAGTAAAAGTATAGTCATTGTAACCAATCCCCGCCCTCCTCAATCCCCTATAATAATTCAAAGCCTCAGCGCATAACCCACTCTTTGCATACGCAAACACCATAGTGTTCCAGGATACAACGTCTTTCTCTGGCATTTTATCAAAAAGCTTCTTAGCCGGCTTCACCATGCCCATTTTAGCATACCCAGAAAGCATATGGTTCCAAGAGTAGAGATTCTTGTGTACCATTTTGTCGAACACCTTCCGAGCGCCTATATGGTCACGGCATGCGGAGTACATGTAGATCAAATGGTTGGACAAAAGCGTGTTGGGTCGTTTCAAACCAGTCACCTTTAAGTGGAG